TGCAGTTACAAAAATGATTTTGTACACACAGAGTAGAGGGCTGCTGCCTCGGATCCTCGGATCCTCAAACCTGTTTCTCCAACCTGCTTCTCCAAGCCTAGGGGAACCTGAACCCTCCTCTAACACCCATCACTGCCCACCTGCAACTCCAAGGGTCTCAGAGGGCACCTGGTCACCTAGAGCATGCTGCTGACCACCTTCTAGACCCAGTTCTCAGGGCATAAGACAGGGGATCCTAAGAGAATGAAAAGGGCTATGCCTACTTTGTCCTTCAGCCCTTCTTACTCCACTCTCTGTACCTCAGGGAGGGTACAGCTCAGTCTGCTCACTCCCAAAGCTAGCTGCCCATGGGTAACTGCAGGACCCATCGGATCTCTTCTTCAGGGAAGGGAGATGGCTCTCTCGCCCTGCCTAAAGGGGAGACATCAAAGGTCAAAGATGCATTCGACCCCTCCCTAGATCATTAATAATAAAGATAATGACTAACACTAATCAAGTGCGCCTGATGTTGTGCAATGTACCACCAGGAGGTAGGTACTGCTGTTAATCGCATTTTTACAGAAGAAACTGAGGCACAGAGTGACTCTCACAGCTGGTAACTGCACAGCCAGGATTCAAACCTAGGCAGACTCCAGATGGTGTACCTACCCTCCCTCCACCAGGCTGAAGTGCACAGGCCTACAACTCCAGGGTAAGGTTGGGGGTATTCCAGATTTCTGTGGGCTGTTTGACAGGAGACTAAGAGGACTCCCTTAGGATCCAAGATTAACGTTCCTGAGCTTCTAAGCTTTCAGTTGGGACTCGAGATCCTAAGCTTCGACCCACATGGTAAGTGCTGCAGAAGACAGGACAAACCAGAGGTATCCCCCTCCTCACAACTCTAACCTGGCCTCTCCTCAGAGAACCTTAAGGCAAAACTGTGAAGTCCTCAAAGAGCCTGCTGGATATGCTATAAAGATTTTGAACTGAAAGCCTCTGGCCTGGGTCACAGGCATACGGCAACTATCTCTCAACTATCTCTCACTTAACGGGAGCACCAGTTAACCAAAACACCATCCCTCCAACCTCAAGGATGTGACAGTCAGTATGAAAGCCCCTGAGGTGTCACTTGGGGGCTGGCAACCAGCAGCCCCAGCTCACCTGTCAAAGAAAGCTAAGTGGAGGAGATTTCTGACAGCTTCTTGGATCGGTGTTAGTGACCGTTTAGCCAGGCAATTAAAAGAAAAGAAAAGCACACGGGACAGGAAAATCTTCTGGAAACATTTGCTGCGTCCCGAGCCCAAACAACTCTATCCTTAAACGCTTAATCTCCAAAAGTGCTCGGAAGACCCTTGGCCAAACAGTTTCAAAACCAACATTCACTGCAAGTCCTGCTGCCTGGGGCAAGGACTTCCCTCTGTGAGGCATTTGCTATGGAACCAAATGCTTTTCCACTCAAAACAACAGCCAACAGCACTTGGGACAACTGAGAGGGCTCCAGATCAAACAAACATCTTTTTCCTACCATGCAAAATTTCTCAATAAATTATTCGTCCACTTTGGATCAAAGCCTGTTTTTGCAGCCTGTGACCTAAAAATCAAATAGCATCTCTTAAACACGAAAGCCCTCCTCCCTGCCTGGGTTAGCTTTATTACTCATTCCTTCCCCTTACAGTTATTCTGTTGTTATTTTCCTCCTCTGCTTGCTAGAGCACTCTGCGAGTCCCAACCTGCCTGAGGAAGATGGGACAGAAGGGTTGGTGTGTTCACGTGGGGCCCTAAGGTGAGAGAAGTCAGGGTAAGGGAGAAGCCAGCACCCTGGGAACCCAGGAAACAGGGCCAGGCCCGTTTGGCAGCTCCCTGGCCCACTCTTTTGCCAAATGTCCTACTGGGAATTTTACCAGTAAAGGGAGGGAATTAATGCCACTCTGGAAGAGGGACCAGGCCGCCCTACCACCTCCAGGGCCCAGAGTTAGTCTGCGAACATTAAAGTTAAGGGGGTGTCCTGAGAGCTTCCCTTAACTCAAACAGGGATCCTTCCCTGTCCAACAAAGCCGGGGTAGCCAGAAGGGCGGCAGGTCAGCAGTGCCCCACTCAGCCCCTCTCCATCTGCTTTGGCGCGGTACTGGATACCAACTTGAGGCCTTGCGAAGTCCCCCTGCGAACTCTGCCCCTGGATAAAACTTTTGGGCCATGGAAACCTGCAGCAATATGAGCCAGGAGTGCCAGGCGAGGGGAAGAGGTTTGGAAATCTCCAGAGACCAGAGTCGCCTGCTGCAGCGTGCTGGCATTATGGACCAAAGGGAGACCGGGCGCCCCTCCTCCCCCGAGCTCCCCTAGTCCTGCTGGAGGCCTGGGGCCAAGCTGGTAAAAAAGTGCCCTGGCCGCCTGGCTAAAGGGATTGGGAAGGGGGAGGGTATGAGTGCCTCCAGCCTGCCCCTGGAGGCAGTCGGCGGGACCGCAGGCTGGAGGCGCGCCGGCGTGATTCCGACCGCGGGAGCGGGGAGGAGGAGCCTGAGGAGGCTGCAGGGGACTCTGGCCCAGGCGATGGAAGGGCGAGAGGCGGTTCGGGCCCCGGGCGGCGCGGGGAGGTGGGCGTGACGCCGGTGGGGAAAGTGATGCTGGAAGGGCAGCTGCGCCCTTTAGGGAGTGGGCAGCAGTGTGTTGTGGGGAACACGGCTGGGGGGGGTGGTCCTGGGCCTCTGGAAGCTAGAGTGAAGCCTTCCTGCCGGTCTCGTAGACATCCCCATACTCCGGCAGAAAGCTAAGACTCGCCAGGCTAAACCCCTCCTATCCCATAGTCGTGAGAGAGAGGGTAGTCTCAGAGCCCAGGGATGGGCGGGAAGGGACCGGAGGGAGCTAGAAGTCTGCACCCTAGCGAGGAGGCGGCGGGCGGGAGCCGCTCCGCAGACGCAGGCGAGTGGGTGGGAAGGAGGGAGGGAGGGAGGAAGGAGGTGAGGCCGGGAAGATGCCACTGCCGGGGGCGGGGCGGGGCTGGGGATCTGGCAGAGGGACTGCAGCGCTGCTTGGTGGGGGCGGGGGCTGCAATGTCACTCATTTGGGGGTCAGGTGTGTGCGTCCCAGGCTGGGGCCGCGACTTGCTTGCATCTTCCCGGTACCACCCAGGGCGCATGGGCGAAGGCAGAGGGCAGGGGACTGCGGAGCCGTCCCCGGAGCGGGAGAAGAACCAGCAGAGTTGGGAGAAGGTAAACAAGGGCCACGCCCCCTGCCGTCGCCCCGCGGGCGCGCACCCGCCGCTCCGGCCGCCGCCGGTATATTTCCACTCTCCCAGCGCCTCTCCCCCGCCGAACTCCCGCGCAGCCCCGGAGGGGGAGCTGCTCTAGACCCCAGCCCGCGCTCCCTGCGCCGGGGCCGAGCACCGTCCACACTCACCTGGAAAGGGTGTCCCCCGCCCCTCCAAAAAACTGTCTAATTTGTGCAGAGCCTCCGCGCCCCGGAGCCGAGCATGCTGCCCCCGCGTGCTGTCCCCGCGTACACCCAGCCCAGAAAGGGGGCGACAGGGCGGAGGCTGCGGCCCCCGGAAGGTGTCTGGGGCCGGACAGGCTGCACGTGAGCCCAGCGCGGGGTCATGTGCACCGGCTCAGCCCGGTTCGGCGCCCGGACGTGCTGCGTATCAACAAAATGAAACTCGGGGCGACAAGAGGGCAGATAGCTCCGGGTCCTCCAAGTGTTCCCCCCACACACAAGGTGCCTGACCTTCCCCCGCACCCTTACCCCGCTGCAGCTCCTCTGCCCGGCCCGAGCCCGCGGGGCAAGTTGCAGCCCCGGTGCGCCCCCGCCCGCCCGCGCCCCCTCGCCGGCCCGGGGGCGCTTTGCCGCAGTCATTAATAAAGAAGGTCGCCGAGCTCACCCTTCCAAAAGTTGTTGCATGCGCCCCTCTCAGCCTCCCCGCACTGTACTCTTTGAAACACGACTGACCAACATGCGCAATCTCTCTCCCCTGTGCTGTGCATCCCCCCCACCCCCCGCGCGCTGGCTTCCTAGAACAGGCAGCCAGCAGGAGAGAGAGGGAGCGAGCGAGCAAGAGAGAGAGCGAGGGAGCAGGAGCGCTGGCAGATCTGTTGCAAAAACACAAAATAACGCCGTGGAGATGCGCAGGGCCCATCCGCTGGAGACTGGATCTTACCTTGCTCTGTGATGCCCTCCCGAAGGGCGCTGCCCTCGGCTACGCGCCGCGGCGGGGGCCAAAGCGGGAAGGATGCTCCCGAAACCCAGAGCTCCTGGGGCCGGCGCGGGCGGGCGGGGGTCGCGCATCCATCCGGGGTCGCGGCGAGGGAGGCAGTGCGGCCCACGGCGTCGCCTGCCCCGCGCCCCTGCCGAGGACCGTCAGTCCGCCGGACCCAAGCCAGTGCCGCTAGGAGTGGGCGCAAAGTAACTCCATGGACGCTACTACCCCCCACAAAAAATAGACTCCAACTGCGATGGCCGCGGTCGGCACCATTCACCAACCCCCTGTGTATGTTTCTGTTTCTTTTTAAACCAAGACTTCCTTGTGATCTCTTTAGAAAAAAAAAATGTGTTGGGGTGGGGGTGGGGGCGGGCGGGAGGAGCGAGGGAGGGGGAGTAGCCACTTTTTTTATTCACTCCGATCTCCTCTGACACCCCCCGTCGTCAGTTCCCCCTCCCCCCCGGCCAGTTGGGCTCCCGCGGCGGGTCCAGGTAGCGTAGCCCGTCCCAAGGGGAGGGTACCCTGCCGGGCTGCCCTCCAGCCCACACCCCGGGCCTGGACTCCTCATGGGCTCTGGGGCGCCCCCAGCCCGCCCTGTCCCCAGGGCCGGGCCCGAGCGGCGGCAGCGCCCGTGCAAGTCCCATCAGGTCTGTTCACACTTCACACACTCACATACATACCCCGCCCCTCCACTCTCTCACTCACACTTTCTGCTCACACCCCGCCCCCTTCGCTCGCCAGACCCGGGCGGCGCCCCCCGCAACCTTAAAAAAAAAAAAAAAAAGCAAGCTTATACTTAAAAAAATCTTTTGGCGCCATATTAATGACGTACTTAAAATTTGCCATTTCTCTCTGCGTCAAAAAGACGTTTCTTTGCAAATAACAGCCTGCAGTCGACACTCGCGGAGGCAACGAGGTTTGCACTGAGCACCCCGCCCCTCAGGGCTCCAGAGCTAGAAGACCCTCGCCCTAGGCCCAGCTCCTGAATCGCTAGTTTTAAAAGACGAATCGAATAAATCGCGTGGCGTTTTGCAGCGCCAGAAGTGAGCAGAAAGTACTGGCAGGAGCCGAGAGGAGGGGCACGCGGAAGTCTAGGGGAGGGGGCGCGGCCCTCCTCCCCCACCCACACCAGATGGAAACTAACATCCGGGCGGGGGAAACTTGAAATTGTGGGCGACCTCAAGAATGGAGGGGCGGTCCGTAGAGAGGGTCCCTCTCGGGCTCGTCGCCCCCTCCCCCCGCCCAAGTGGCTCCAGATGCCCAGTGCTGCCCCGCATTTCCGGGGGGTGGGGAACGCGGTGATGGGTGGTGGGTGGTTGCACGTCCTGACCCCGGTAGGACTTTTCATTTGCCCCAACGTAACCCTGTCCCCCATGTTCGCCACCCCATTTTTTCATGCCCCCTAAAGGGTTAAAAACCGAGGGGCAACTTCCAAAGGGTGGCACTTGGGGAGGAAGCGGGTCTCCCCTCTCCCCACCCTTCGCCTCCTCGCCCCTCCTCCTCCGGCTCCAGTTCCCGACTTGACCTTGTGGTGCACAAACAGTGCGCTCGGATCCTCGCAGTTTCTGGAAGAAGAGCCTGCGCTCGCCGGGCGGGCGGGCGGGCGGCTCGCAGGCGGTGGCGGGGCCTTGGGGCCGTTCCCGGAGCCGCGGGCCACACCCACCCAGCCTGCTGCGCCCGCCGCGCTCACCTTCTCTCGAGGAAGGAGAAAGGCTGGCCTCCTGGATGGAACTGCAGCCTCCTCTGGATGCCCCCCAGCTGGAGAGGGGGTGATCTGGCCTCGGGCGGGGGAGGAGAAGGGGGAGACCTGGGAGCTCAGCCCAACATCCCCAAAGCATCACTGCCAACTTTTCCCCCCCTTCCTTCTTGGCTGCCCCTCAAAGATGATCCAATAATTTTTTTTCAGCTCACCTTTGGCTTTGAAGGCACGTGGGTGAGTTGTGCACGGGGACAGGAACCTCCTTCTCTCTCCAAGACTGAGCGTTGTTTATTCTTTCTTTTCCCTCCACCCCCTTGTATGAAAAGATAAATATTCAATTTACATAAGATGACATTTATGTGACAATTAAGATTACCCGATGGAATGTTGTGAACACGTTTGCTTATAGGAGAAATAAATCTAATAATAAACTCATAATCCTCCGACAGGGCGGATTGACTACACAACAAAGAGGGAGATGATGGATGCTGAAATAAGCACTTTTTGCAACGAGAAAGAAATACGAGCTCTAAGGGAGTCACTGCAACACTTCTCTTCCTCGGCCTTCATTGACAAAGTCTGGGGGGAGGTTCCTCTAGCAAGAGGAGGGGATGGGTATCACCTCCCAGTTAGACCTGGTTCTGGCTCTCAGTGGAATTGGTAGGATTTTCCTAAGCCCAAGCTCGGTGCCTGGAAACAGGTGTCTAAGTTGTGGTCCTGTAGCAAAATGGTTAAATTCCTGGATTCTAATCCTGGCTCTGCCATGTGGTATGGGCAAGTGAATGGGTCTCTTTTTCCTCATCTGTAGAACGGAGTGATTGAAGGGTTCTTGAGGTCATGTGTGCGCTCTACCTGGTGCCTCTGTTTGGAAGGGTGAGTATCCTTTCTGAAAGCTCTTAACACTGGAAAACTGGGGACAATAATTTCTGTGTTTCTCTCTATGAAGACATATATAAAATCTCCCAGTGTAAGCAAAAGAGATGGCCAGGGGAGAAAACCATAATATACGGTCAAGGTCCAGATAGTAGTCTCAGCCACACTGTCTAGGGTCCAGCAGGAGGAGGGAAGAGCCAGTCTACAGTGGCAGAATCCAAGGGGTCTGCTCTGGTTGGGTCTGGTTGCAGAGCATTTACATGCAGGAGAGGACAGGTCAGGCTCCCTTCTCCTAGCTGTCAGGTTCCCGTGAACTGGAATGGGAAAATACTCTGGCACACAGTTATAAAATGACCTAGAGAAATGGAAGACCATTTATAGAGCACCTGCTATGTGCTGTGCGCTGTGAGCCATTCCATTTCTTCCTCACAAAAACCCTGTCTTACCTGTTCAGAAAGGGTTAGTAACTTACCACCAGGCACACAGCTTGTAAGTGGTGGCAGAATGGGCACCACCTAGGTCCAGCTGACCCCAAGGCTACTACACAGGTTTCCATTTACCACAATGCCAGAAATAAAAAGTGCTGTATTATTGGTTTGATTGGAGATGGGGGCCTGACTGCCATCTTGGCAAGACTGAGCAGGATTTTACTGGTGGCACTTTTCCTCTGAGATGTTCCTCAAGCTTGGGTGAGACCTAGGCCCCCTAAAGGATCCTTGGGAGATATCTCTTGTTGAGGTCTGGAAGCCCTATCAGGGCCCTCAGTTTCCAACAGGCCTCTGCTACTGTTTAAGGTTAACCTTGGAAATATTAACATAATGATAACGATAAGGCTAATTATAACTCTTTGATCTTTATTAAAAGTCTTACAAATCATTCATTAACTTTTTACAGAAGAAAACTGAGAAGAAGCAAAGTTCTTGGAGATGTAATCATTTATTCAAAGGACATTTATTGAGGGGGCCCTCCTATGCCAGGCACTGTTGTAGGTACGGGGGTCGCAGCACAACAAAACAGAAGAATTTCTGCTCTTGTCTTGGAGAAATTACTTTCTAGTGGAAAGAGATACACTATGTAAAAAATAAGTAAAATATATACTATGTTTGAAGGTGAATACATGCTACAGAAAAAAAATTAATAGGAAAGTGGGATAAGGAGTGGGGATGCAATTTTTTAGTATGATAAGGAATGTTTTGTTCCTCCAAATGCAAACAAATAATTTATAAAAATGATGGTATATTTAGACAATAGATACACTCATAAATATAAAAGGCAAATATGATCTCATATCAGGGTTTTATATTTATTTATTTTTGCAATTTTCCTACTCATTTTTTAATTGTACTTTATTTTTTTAAAGCAAAAAGGAAGTTTTTTTTATTGTACTTTAGATGAAGGTTTATAGAGCAAACTAGTTTCTCATTAAACAATTAATATGCATATTGTTTTATGACATTGGTCATTGGTTGCCAACCCCATGACATGGCAACACTCTGCCCGTCTCGACCTTGGGTTCCCCAATACCAGCTTTCCTGTCCCCCCTGCCTTCTTGTCCTTGCCCCTGGGCTGGTGTGCCCATTTAGTCTCATTTTGTTTTATGGGCCTGTCTAATCTTTGGCTGAAGGGTGAACCTCAGGAGTGACTTCATTACTGAGCTATAAGGGTGCCTGAGGGCGATACTCTCAGGGGTTTCTCCAGTCTGTCAGACCAGTAAGTCTGGTCTTTTTTTTTTTTTTTTTTTTTTGTGAGTTAGAATTTTGTTCTACATTTTTCTCCAGCTCTGTCCAGGACCTTCTATTGTGATCCCTGTCAGAGCAGTCGGTGGTGGTAGCTGGGCACCATCTAGTTGTACTGGACTCAGTTTGGTGGAGGCTGTGGTAGTTGTGGTCCATTAGTCCTTTCAACTAATCTTTCCCTTGTTTTTTGGTTTTCTTCATTCTCCTTTGCTCCAGTTGGGGTAAGACCAATGGAGTATCTTAGATGGCCGCTCACAAGCTTTTAAGATCCCAGACGCTACTCACCAAACTAGAACGTAGAACATTTTCTTTATAAACTATGTTATGCCAGTTGAGCTAGATGTTCCTCGAGACCATAGTCGTGGGGATGCAATTTTAAACAAGGTAGTCCGGGAAGACCTCGAGGAGAAGATGGCTGAGTAAAAGGAGGTGAAGGAGCAAGCTGTGGGGTAAGAGCATTCTAGGCCAAAGATTCTTAACCTGGAGACCCCCCAAGAGGTCTGTGGATAAAATTCAGAGGGTCTTGATCTTCGATGGGGACAAAATTCCATCTTTATTTTCACTAATTAAAATTTAGCATGTTCTTCAATTATGAATGTAGGCAACAAATCACAGTGGTACTAGCAGCACCTGTGATGTTGTTGCTAGTAGAAATCACAGATACTTTCATATCACATTACAGTTGTTGCAGATCTCTTAAAATATCATCACACTCACCAGTACTTCCAAATTATACTGCTAGCTCTTGTAATGTAATGAACTAATAAGAAGTACACATATTACTATATATGTTACACATTTTAAAAATACTTTAGAATTATATTTCAATAGAATTGGTTTTCTTTGTAATTTTTATAACTTATTTTACAGATTTAAAAATTGTATACTCAGAACAAGTCCACAGGCTTCACAGACTGGCAAACAAAGGCTGAGAACCACTGTCTCTGCAGTGAGACTAGCAAGTGCAAAGGCCCTGAGGCAGGAATGTGCTTAATATATACAAGGAAGAAATTATATAGGGCATTGTTAGGAATTTGCCTTTTGCTGGGAGTGAGATGAGAAGCCTAGTGAAGGGTTTTGAGCAGAAGAATGACATGATCTGACTTACTGAATTACTGGTGACCTCCTTGGGGAGAACAGACTGAAAGGGGCAAGGGCAGAAGCAGGAAAACCAGTTAAGAGGTCACTGCAACAAACCAGATGAGAGATGATGTTAACTTGGACCAGGGTGGTAGCGGTGGAATTGGTGAGAAGTGGTTGAATTATGTGTATATTTTGAAGGTAGCTCTGATAGGATCTGGTGATCGATTAGCTGTGGTGTGTGAGAGAAAGAAGTGGAGATGACTTCAAGACTTTTTTCTTGAGCCAGTGAAAGGATGGAGTTACCATGAACTGAGATGTGGAAACTGTGGAAGGAGTTGGCTTTAGAGAAGGATGACATGTGAAGCTTGAGATGCCTATTAGACACTCAAGTGCAGTTATCTGGTAGGCAGCTGGACATGGCAGTCTCAGCTCAGGGGCGAGGTCTGGGCTGAAGATGTCATTTGAGAGTAGTCGGCAGATAAATGGTATTTAAAACTATAGGGCTGTTTGAGGTCACCAAGGAAATGAGCGTAGAAAGAGAAGAGGCCCAACGACGGTGCCCTCAGGCATTGCAAGGTTAAGAGATCTGGAAGACGCAGAGGAATCAGCAAAGATGTTGTTAAAACGAAGCATCCAGAGAGACAGGAGGAAAGTCTAAAGAGTATGATGTCCTGGAATACAAGTGAAGAGAGAGTTTCAGGAGGGAGGAAAGCCCTATGTCCAAAGCTGCTGA